GTAATGCACTACCAAAACGCCCGTAACTAAGAAACAAATGCTAGTTCGATGATGCCGGCTGGCACACTGATTCACTATGAATGTAGGCCGCACCCCTTAGCGGCAGAAGCTCGTACTACATCCGGTTCGCCCTCTATTGACACAATCTTGAAACTTTCCGATCGCACCTCGTATTTAACATTCCACTGGTCATCATTCCATTTTTGGATGTCTTCCTCCACAAGAATACAATAGTTTTATGATGTTTATTGTGTTTTTACCATTTCATCTTGGTTGGGTTGAAATTACCCAACAAGTTCATTTGCCTGCCATGTTGTCGTAACTGATTGCACCACGTTAAAGAAAGTAGAGTACACTTGAATAGCATAATGTACTTACCATCTTTCATCTGCATCTGTATACATATACAACTTTGATGCCAGGTTAGGTTAGGTTATGTTAGTTTTAGTTAATTGTAGCTTTTGTTTTGTTGTGTCCATTTGTAAATGACAAATTCCATAATAAGCTCTGTAGTGGCTAATGGTTTGTGGATGCGAAGTTAGAAATATCTGGTATCTGAATAATATTAATGTGAGTTTGTACGTACTACAAAATAGTTTTAGATCAAATAATAATATAACTTATTTACTTTTTTGTTTGGTTGTTGTTTTTGTGCAGTTGAGTGTTTTTAAAATCTGCTCTTTTTCACTACTGATTTTCATGCATGATTTCAAGAATTTTTTTTAAAAAACGTTAATATATTTATATAATATGGAAGATAACGTTTTTAAGTACATTTTATGTTTGAAGATGGTACATGCTTGCATACTTTTTCTTTCTTCCTAGATATCACTCTCGTTCAAAACTTGGATCAGAACACAGAAACACTTTTTGTTCTGAAGAGATTTGTGCCTAAGAGCAATGACGTGTTGGAAGAGCAGTTGGATCTCTCTCAGTTTCAAGTTGTCATCTCAGATTCTTTGGACACGTGCGTCAGGTTTCAGACTGTAGTGCTACAGGTGTGTGTCGGTATTTGAAACAGTACAAGGTCAGAAATGATATCAGCATCATCCAAATACACATATAAATGTCTTCACACAATGAAGTTAGGGACAGAAGATTTCTGTCTTCTGGGTTGTTGCGCCGTGTAATCTGGTAGATGTCCAACAACGTTTCAGAGGTCATACTGCCTCTGTCATCAGGTGCGATAGTATGAAGATTTCTGTCTTCTGGATTGTTGCGCTGTGTAGTCTGGTCGATGTCTACCAAAGTTTCAGAGGTCATACTGCCTCCGTCATCAGGGTGAAGAATTCATCGCCCTGATGTTGGAGGCAGCATGACCTCTTCAGTCTCACCGCTGTGAAAACCTCAAATCTTGCGTGTTTATATTAGTTTGGTCACTCTGTACACACATACATTATGTCTGTTTATGATGTGATTTATATTATACAAATGTTATTTGTTCTGAAGTCTCTCTTTTTTTTACTTCATTCGAGTCCTTCATTTATTCTACTGTGTATTCTTTTCACAGTGCTTGTGCATTTGTTTCAGGTCCTGTCTTCATTTCTCAGCAGTGTAATGGAATATGATCGTTCAATTTATAACAAGCTTTGGGCCGCACTGTCTGATGTTTTGACTGTTGCACCTCTCAAAATCAAATCCCAGGCATTTAAGCTAGCTGCGAATATATTAAAGAAGGTTGGATTCACAATGGATGTGAAGGTAAGATTATAGTTTATATGTTGTATTCTTAAGTATAATTTGAAGTGTCAGTAACCAGCAAAATGAAACAAATTATGAACAGTTGTGGCACATCTTCTGTGTTATTGCCTCTGTTTGTGACTGGTAACTTCCAATGCTTTCTTATTAACAGTCAGGGTGGATAAGCAAAGACCCTTAATATAAGATTAGAGCAAAGGCATTTCAACAGTTCTTGAGCTATGATGATAGCTTAAAAATTCAGTTTCTCTCTTAATTTATTAATTAGATTATATAGTAAAAAAGTAAAGCTGTCCCGCTATACGCCATGTAGGTGCTTGGGGGGAGAGGAGGTATAGCTCCTACTCATTCTTGACCTCGGCACTAGATGGGGGTGAGTGGTCAGCATCACGCCACGGCCGCGCTTTACCCCTGGGGAAAGGACCTTGGTATCTAAGACTTGAGGTTCTCACAGCGGTGAGTATGAAGATTTCCGTCTTCTGGGTTGTTGCGCTGTGTAGTCTGGTCGATGTTAACCAACGTTTCAGAGGTCATACTGCCTCCGTCATCAGGGCGATGAGTATGAAGATTTCTGTCTTCTGGGTTGTTGCGCTGTGTAGTCTGGTCGATGTTAACCAACGTTTCAGAGGTCATACTGCCTCCATCATCAGGGCGATGAGTATGAAGATTTCTGTCTTCTGGGTTGTTGCGCTGTGTA